TACAACCAAAAACATGGATTTGTGGTTCCGTAAGTGTTCATTTCATGCATCAATATTGCTATGTGATGTCATTTTTAAGGATATAGGTTTCAAATTATTATTTGATGCATGTATTTCAGATTATTAATTTAGTTGTAGCACAATTGACAAATGCACAAAGAAGGCTCTTCCCCGATAAGTGTCATAGGACGTGGTACTTTCCCACATATGTATCAGTGAGTAGTCTAGTGTGTCATGTTTATGTTTGGTTATTCATGTATACTTATTGATGTATACTTGTGCATTCTCAATTGTAGCAACATATTATCAATGGGGCGGACCATGCAAAGCTATGTGACGAATATTTTGGGGAGTCTCGATACACCGGGAAGCTTCATGCCTGTCATGAAGTAATGTGTCAACCATTCTTCCATTTTGCAGGATTATTTTAAATATCCCCTCCATTTTACAAATATTTTTATTATTTATTAAGTTTTTTAGGGTATCAACGTCGTCACTATTTTTTTTTTTAATTTTCTAAACTGGTTGGGCAACGTTGCATGACCTTTTTTTTATTATTGTCACTTAGATATATATTCCGATGAACGACCATGAAGAACATTGGTTTTGTGTCAAGATAGATATGGCACATCGCATGGCTTATATATTTGACTCGAGTCCTAGCCTCACAAATGACAAACATCGTGAATTAATGGCAAGGAAATTGGTAAGTCGTTTATTTTATTTTATTTTTTTAAAGAAAAAAAACAATCAGCACAATCTATCTTACAATATTCATGCATAGGTTCAAACAATGCATTTGTTATTGCAACAATATTTTGGAGACCTTTATGTTGCAAATGTGAAGGAGTTCGAATTAGAGAGGTTGAAAGACGCTTGTCTCCAACATAAAACCGATAGGTATTCTAAAATTTCTTCATTCGCTATTCAATTTTGGCTTTCTTATTAACATTACACACAAGTTTGACATTCATATGTATGTTGTCATGAAGCTACGACTGTGGTATGTTTGTCATGAAGTATATGCAAGGTGTTGTTATGCCGACCGGCGTACACAAGGTGACTGTTCAATGTTAACCACATAATTACACTATTGCAATTACAATGTCATATGATGGTATTGTTGATGGAATATTTTTTTTTTTGTTTCCTTAGTTTGATAAACTGGAAAGGTTTAGGCTACTGGTTGACCTAGTGAACGATTCGTCCAACCGTATTTATATTGAGGTTATGAATAGGCTCGAACAATACAAAGAGAGGTGCGTCCCCAAACCATGAACAACTTATGCCCTTCATAAACTCAACTGATTACTTACTGAATGTAATTTCTTTTGTAACAGGTACTCTAGGCTCCGGAAGGCTAGAAGGAAAAAGAAAGTTTGATTGTAAACATGGCTGCTTGAAAAAAGATTGATTCACCTTACCGTACTTTTGCCACTATGCTTATTCACAATTATGAACATATTAGATGGCTGAAGAAACATGGATGACTAAAGTAACCCAGTTTGGTAGTATTTTGTGGACGATTGAAAAAGCATATTATTTTTTGGGTTTCAATTTGTATGGAATTTATATTGTTGCTCAAGATTGGGGTGATGAAACTATTTATGATATTTAACTGTATCACATTACTCTTGGTTGTTACATTTACAATCCATCAAAAATTACACACATGTACCAAATGTTAGTGGGGAAACTGTTTTAAAAACTGGATTACGAGTCCATGCATTGCTACATATATAGTACAATATAATTTTTGTTGCATAATCAGTTCATGTCCAACTAAAATTGTTCCATTAGTGTATACTATCATGTACACATTTCAAATGACAAGAGTGTAACAGGACTAGTCCTTGGCAGAGTAACAAAATAACGAATAAATTTTCTAAATTTTACATTTAAGAAAACATACAAAATGAACAATAGAAAAAAAATTAAATAAAAAATATATTGTTAATGGAGAGAAAGTGATAATTCATGTCATCTCCCCACTTAGAAGGCGCGCAAAGGTAGTTCTTTGCAAATTTTAAAAATACCAAGAACAATGACAGTATTTGCTACAAAAAAGCAACAGAGGACCTGTATTTCCTTGCTAGTAAGCAACACCTAATGTATCCTTCAACGACTTAGAAAGAAAAAACGTCTAAGAAATCTAACGAATTATAGTTGTTAATCACATTCCGTGCATAAATATCATACTAAGTTTTGGAATCGTTGTATCAACTGTGTAGTCAATTGGTATCCATAAATTTCAGCAAGCAATAAATACATCATTGGCATTGAACAAAAAAAAATTAATTGGACATGTCTATCAAAAATGTCGAAGCATCATACTAAATAATATTGTTGACATAAACCATACAAATGTTGTCCATCACATAAGCCATCCATGAATCCTAACATTGTTTCAATTTTCTTTTCATAATAAATGGGACAAAAAGTAACACTGTTCGCAAAAGTATGGGATGATCAAAGTACCACCACTGGTTGCACAAAAATTAACATTGTTTGTAAAAAAAAGTTGACACTTTCTGCACAAAAAAGTAACACTGTATGCAAAAAAAAAGTAACAGTGTAAGCTAAATCATTGGCCTTGCAAACTTTGTTCAACCATCATTGTCTATGTCCATTTGTTGGCTGTCATCATGGTTAGACCCATTAGATTCCTGCTCACTATCATTAGAACTAGTTGAATTCTCAAAATCTTCACCACAAAAGGCTTTCCGCATTTGTTTTAGTTCTAACTTGACCTTCCTCATGTCTTTCTTGTGCTGCAACTCCATCCGGTTCAATATGGACACAGCCTCGTACAAACGAGTTGATATACTCTCCAATGAAGTAGGACCTTGTCTTTCACGATGCTTTTGACTTTGCCCTTGTGTTTTCCCATACGTTCCACGACCTATGTGGTTCATCTGCCCCTTCCATTCATCATCTGGTTGAGTCGGTACACAAAGCTCAAGTAGCATATCAGTCACGAGGAGGCCGAATGGTAATGCTGCATGTGGGTTGTTTGCTTTTGCGACAGAATCCATAACTTGCCAAATTATCTTCGGAACATCTAGAGGGATGAAATTATGGACAGCATACAACATCAGTGCTCTTTCATGGTCAAAAGTGGATTTCACCCCCCTTGGGTCAAGATTGTACCACAAGATAAGATGAAGAACGGCAAGGTCAGGCTTCAGGAACTTTACATGATACTTGTCTTGTGGTATGACTACTTCGATGTACAAATCATCAACAATTTGGGCTTCATTAGGAAGGTCAACACCAGGAAGGTATGGATATTGTGTTTTGTCATCATGTGTTGATCGCTGAATGTCTAAGAATTTTGATATGCAATCCGCGAAAAACACCACATCTTTTCCCCTCAGTTTTGTTTTCAGAATCAAGTTCTCTGTATCAGTTGGCTTTTGTATGCTACCAAAGAATTCCCGTACCAGGTTGGCATTAGCCTTCCCTTCCTGTTCGATTAGGTTTTGGATATGCAGGTGGCCCACAATTGCTGGAATATTAGTATGAGTTAACTCCTTCAACTTGACAGCCTGCTCTACTGTAATAGCCCGTTTAGCAAAAATACCAAGGTCAACGTGAGGAGCTTCCGCTTTTCCTTTACTCGATTTTTTTGTTGTCTTTTTCCGTGGCATCTTCAATTACCTACGTAATATCCAAACATATTAAAACATATGTACGTCATTGGAGAGATTCAAATTTTAATCATACAATGACAAATGCAAATATATTAAAACCTTATTGATTTCAGTCATCAATGTCCACCATTTCTTACCAAGCAAACAGACAATTAAAAAAATCTTCAAAAGAAAAGGAGAAACAGTTCGGCATTATTAACAGTGATTGTTTGTAAAGTAATGGCATGAGCAAGTCTTTATTTTATCAGCAATCAAACAAATTTGGTATTTATTCACCTTTACTTTTCAAATTAATCTCCAAACTACGAAATTTATTAAGTCAAAAATATTAAAAAATATTAAATCAAATATTTCAATGGAAGAAACACTCAAGTCGAAATATTAAAAAATAGGCAATTTTTGAATTTTATAATTATATTCGAAAAATGTTTTAGAAAAATTCTTCCAAACACAATCCACTTTTTAAGAAACACCTAAAAGTTAATTGTGTTAGTTTCAAATGTGTCTAACACATGTCTAGACATGGGAATATCCAACATTTGTCATGATTCATTAGTCCGCTCAACACCTTTGATTTTTACCCATAATGAGGATTCTTCATCTTCTATGATCTGGGTGAAGGAAAGTAGCCTTGCATATGGATTTGGATCATTACAGTCAAGTTACTGTACTCTCACTTGTTATAAGCAGTTGTAATTTTTACTCTCGACTGCTTGAAAATGAAGATTATTCCATGCTTGGGATCTCTTGTGTGAGCAAATAGCCAAATAAGCTCAAGTCCTAATTTGACTGCATCAACAGGCTCAAGTCCTAAATTTTCTTAGATGCTTTTAGTTTTAAGGAAGTAGATTTGCAAAGTTTTTTTAATACTACAATATTGTTTGAATGACAACTCGAGTTCGTGTTACTAATTTTTTTGTTGGGTGATGAAGTCGTTTATATGTTGGCAATGCACATCTCCATCATCTCTTATTATCCCTATACATCGATACCATACCATTCCACTATAAGCATAGTTATGTGTCACCTAACAGCAATGTCCACCATTTCTTACCAAGCAAACAGACAATTAAAAAAATCTACAAAAGAAAAATAGAGACAGTTCGGTATTATTAACAGTGATTGTTTGTAAAGTAATGGCATGAGCAAGTCCCTATTTTATCAGCAATCAAACAAATTTGGAATTTTTTCACCTTTATTTTTAAAATTAATCTCCAAACTACGAAATTTATTAAGAATGCCTAAGATTAAAACAACTAAGACATTAACAAAACGTAACTACTAGCCACTAATGTCTCATTGTAAAAACAATGTTTCGATCACTATAAGCCTCATCATGAAAGTCAACTACATTGGATCATTTGGATAATTTGGCAATTCATCGATATCATCCTTGTGGGGATCCAACTCTGTGTTCATGAATGGTTCACTGTCTGAGTTGCTACCCTCTCTCTGGCTGCTTGAAGCCAATTTTTTACACGTCCGCTTCGTGTGTCCGATGCTCCTACAGTAGCAAATAATGCATAAGCGATTTTAATAATCATATGCATGTAAAAGGATATAAAAAGGTCATACAATGAAAGTACCATACCTACAATACCCACACCGCCTTGGTTTTGGAGGTTTACCCATAGAAGATGTCCCTCCGAGGTTCCCTTTGGTCTTCACTACATTCGGATCACCAACGCCATATAGTTTGGGTGCAATATTTCTGTCCCCAACCTCTGCGTCACCTTCTTTTCTCATTGCCCAACATTTTTTCATCTGCGATGTCAGCTGGAAAGCTATTTCCCTTGCCTCTTCAAAATCTTTGTCCGCGTGTGAGGCATAATATGACATTTCACTAAAACAGGAGCTAAGTATACCAAACTGAGCTGTCTGTGTTAGGGTGCTACAAACTTGGGTAAGACTTGGTTGTTGACACTTTGACCTACCACGTCTTGTCCATCTCTGCAAGACATAACTTAGTGGAATACACATTAATTGTTCAGATTTCATAACAGCAATCATGTGGCAGCAAGGGATGCTGAATGACTCAAACTTCAAGCAACAACATTTCATTGTGATATCAGCTGGAAAATACTCAACCGTCCACGTGCATGTTGGTGCCTTGTACTCACCAAAACGGTAGGTGCGATGATCCTCCCGCTGAACTCTTTCAATCACAAACAATTTACCCTCTTTCCTGATTTCATGTTGAAACAATGAGAAAATCTTCCGAGTAAAGAGTTCAGCTGCATGTTTCTCCAAACTTCTCAATGGCGTAGTCAAAACCGGGAAACTATTCTCTGTTTTAGATTCTGTTTCTGCCTCATTAACACGCATTCTAGCAAGAGCCCTATCATATTGCGCTACAAATTCGTACAACCTAACCTTTTGGTTTAGGAATATATTGAAATATGCATTCATACCCTCGACACGTTGAGTGCTCCTCATTCCAGCAAACATGTGACCACAAAGATATGCCTCAGCCCAATTATCACGCTGTAGATGAATATCCAACACCCAGTTATTGTTCTCCAACTTGTACTGTTTCACCATAGCAGCCCAAGCATTGTCAAACTCATCAATTTTACATTTCTTTAACATCAACTGTGCAAAATCGGTTGTAAATTCTGGTATGTGGACATTTGTTGAGGCATTTTTCTCCAGATGCCAAGAACATAAACGATGTCTGCAGTTTGGAATAACTCTGTTGATTGCCTGACGCATTGCCCTATCACCATCTGTTACAACGGAGATGGGTCTTTTACCATCCATGGCGTCCATTAACATTTCCAACACCCACGTGTATGTCTCCATTGTCTCATCAGGCAACAAAGCACATCCGAATATAGTTGTCATAAAATGGTTACTCACGCCAGCTAGAATTACAAATGGCTTCTTATATGCATTTGTACGATAAGTTGTATCAAATACCAATACATCACCAAATGCAGCATAATCCATTCGAGACCTACAATCTGCCCAGAAAATCTTGTCCAACCGGTTGTCCTTATCGACGTTGTATTTGAAAAAAAAAATAATGGATTTGCATCTAATTTAGCTGACAAGTATCCTAACGCACCCTCTGCATCCCCTTCTGCGAGTTATACTTTGCGCTCAACTTGGAATTGATTGTGCAAATCTCTGTGAATGAAGCCTACCTTCTCATAACCCCCTGACTGATGGACCATAAAATCCATGATCTGACTCATTTTCATACCCACATTACGCATGGCCTTTGCTTGAGCTTGGTCTGCACTTGTTACAAACCTATGCGACCAAAGAAAAGGGACGTAGTGTGGTGCTGCCAAGGGATGGTTGTGTTCCCCTACAAAGTGGGTCACAACATATTTCCTAACTGTCTTGTCATAACGCACGCGAAATGTGGCACTACAAAAAAGTCTAGTTTCTGCCCTAGGAGTTCTTACTCGTTCCACACGTTGCAAGTATTTCTTTTCTCTTACACCTTCCCTTGAACAAATCCATTTCCTACTCTCTACAAATTTGTTGTCTCCAGTAATTCTTTTTCTACTTCTTCGTACTCTAAAACCGATGACCTTAGCGTATGCATTGTAGAAAGTATAAGCATCATCCTCTGAATTGAATTTCATTTGCAACATATCTTCCTTAGTAAGCATTCGTAAACTATCATAGGTTTGGGAAGCTAACCCTTCTTTCACATCAACAACATCATCCTTGCCATCTGGAGCAAATTGATCATCAATTTCAGTATTGACCTCTTCAGGCTTACTACTTTCAGGTTCATCCATCGTATATACACTTGTAAGTACCCTATTAGCAATTAAAACGAAATAAATCAACTAAAAACCACACCTGCCATTGCGCTGCTATAAATTAAATCTTCAGAACAAATAAATTAGCCCCCCTGCCAGTGCCTTGCATTCAATTAAAAAAAAAAATTCAAACATGTCTGCAAGCACCCTACTATCAACTAAAACCAAACAAAAAACCAAAAAAAGCACACCCACCAATACTGTGCTATCAATTATTACTTCTTTATAGAAAATGAACAAATAAGCACACCAGCCAGTGCTATGCTATCAATTATACGCCAATAATAAAAAAACACACCTGTCAGTACCCTACTATCAATTAAAATAAAATTAATTAATTAAAAACACACCTGCTAGTGCCCTGTTATAAATTAAAATCAAACAAATAAATAAATTAGCACACCCGCCAGTGCCCTGCTATCAATTCATATACACTTGTAAGTACCCTATTAGCAATTAAAACGAAACAAATCAACTAAAAAACACACATGCCATTGCGCTGCTATAATTTACATCTCCAGAACAAATAAATATAATAGCACCCCTGCCAGTGCCTTGCAATCAATTTAAAAAAAAATTCAAACATGTCTGCAAGCACCCTACTAACAACTAAAACCAAACAAAAAACCAAAAAAACCACACCCGCCAATATTGTGCTACCAATTATTACTTCTTTATAGAAAATGAACAAATAAGCACACCAGTCCGTGCTATGCTATCAATTATATGCCAATAATAAAAAAGCACCTGTAAGTACCCTACTATAAATTAAAATAAAATTAATTAATTACAAACACACCTGCCAGTGTTCTGTTATAAATTAAAATCAAACAAATAAATAAAATAGCACACCTGCCAGTGCCCTGCTATTCATTAAAACAAACAAATAAATAAGCACACCAGCCAGTGCCCTGTTACCAATTCAAAGCAAAAAATTTCAAAAACACAGAAGCAAGTACCCTAATATCAATTAAAATGAAACAAATAAATAAAATAGCACACCCGCCAGTGCCCTGCTATTAATTAAAAGCAAATAAATTAAAAAATAGACATGCTAATGCAACCACTACGGAGGAAGGGATGGAGGAGGTATAGGTTTACTTCTACGTTAAGATGGACAAATTGAGGACCTATGACAAACAAAAACAGAACATCGAAATAGAGTTAGTAAAGAAGACAATACTTAAGGAAAGTAATGATTATGGCGAGAAAAGAAAGAATCTATCTACGAAAAATATTATTTTACACATCTTTTCACCTTAACAAACTGCATTAGCAATAACAGAGATGAAAGTCTACTACGTTTGTTCAAAGTATGAATAACCATTACACAAATAAACATTTACACAAATGTACCAACCGTTTGACAACTTCAAACAAAAATTAAATAAAAATATCCACAAAAAAAGGATTATTTGATTGGATGAACTATTGGATTATTTGGTAGATCATTTTTTGGTTAATTTCCTAGTATTTCCTATGTCACAGGTGAAGCTGAGTAGCTTCTAAATCAATGGACTATTGGATTGTTTTTCTGAAAACTTCGTATCCGGCCTGTTGAACTATTGGACTACTGGATTTGGATTATTGTTATTGGATTTTCTGATCTTGATAGAACCTTAATGGTGTTCAAGTTCATATTCACTGTTTGGCGTGAATATTTATTCTCACAACTTTCACTATCTAATATTCACAAACAAGAAAGGATAAGCTTTGTACATCTTGGAGATTTTGCATGATAGAAGATAAGTTGAAAGTCTTTGTCAAAGAACAAGGTAAACGGATATAACAAAAATTGAATTCGAATTTGAATTTGAATATACAATCTTCACCACCACAATTACAAGCTTGCTTTTCTACCCAAGATGAACTATAAAAGCCGACACCAGTAGTTTAGCGGTATAGGGTTAGACCCTATGATGAATTGTAAACCTAGACATCTTAGTTTGACTCTCATTAGTGTCTCTCGGGCTTAACCCATACCTATGGTTTACCAATGATTGCAGGTATCAAAAGTTCACTCCATAAGGGTGGGTCAAATGTGGCCCTGCCTTTCAATTGCGTTGTCTAAATCTTAGTGCTGAAAAATTGGACTAGCAAATACCTTAAAAATGGTTAAATAAGCTGCATGGGATATAACACGGAACTATATTTTTTTTTTATTTTCTCACCTATTATACAGATTTAAACTTTATATAATTTGAATCATACTCAATAAATTTAATCCACATATTTTAAATTTTAATTTTTTTCCCTTTCTGAATATAACATTGATGGGATCCAATGTGGTTGATGAGAGAGGATATTTCATGAACAAGAAATGATTTTGGGATGCATATAGGATCCACGTATGGTTTCACCAAAAAGAGCTACCAGGTGCACAAACCCTTTGGTGGTTTTGCACTCAATACCACCAAAGGTATTGGCATAGCTGGAGAGCCATATGAAAAAGCAATATTTATCACAGCTAAGAGTGAAACCCACATGCATTTGAGTTCAAATGTCTTTAACTTTTTTTAGTGTTGTGTTTGGTCTTAATTGATAGACATAATTTATGGATGACTACGAGTATTTAGAAGTTTATTCTACATGATAGATTCAATATGACCCTACTTGGGAACAAAAATTAATTACAACGGTGATACCATCCGACCAATAAAATATCGTAAATGAAATTTGTTTGATATTTTTTGTCTTTCCTAATCCAATCATGTTGTCCCTACTAATATTAGCCCTCCCTTTTGTTTCTGGCTATTGTTGTGTTGTTTTTGTTCAATGAAAATTAATTTACCAAAAATAAAAAGAAAAAGCACAAACTGTCCTGATAGCTTTATTAACTAAGAGAACATGTTAATGTTAACATTAATCCTTAAGGAAAACCATCATTAAATTCTGTAAAGACATGGTTATTATGGGTCCACCATGTTCTTATTTCTATCCAGGCAAACATGGCTTTAACAAAATTTACACCCCAAAAAGCAAATCAGAGAGGATATGAACCAAACAAAGCTAAGTAAGAAAGAGCATTCAAGAAAATCACCCTTCACAAAAAAATAACAAATAAATCAACATCAAAATCAAAATCAAAATTAAAATTAAAATCACCAGTGATAACAACAAGGTTTAATGGCTAGAATGAAGATTGAGATATAGCTAGCTAGGCTGCTTTCATGGAGGAGCATTTCTTAACTATCCAGGCAAAATAAGTTTTCTTTTTAGTCTACACCTGTTCAGTATAGTTTTTGCATTTTTTTATAATTTTATTTTTTCTATTTTCATTTTTGTCTCTTTAGAAACAAAATAATAAAAGGTTTGTTGTAGGTTATTTTATCCGATTTGTGCTTATGACATGTTGGCGATGCTCACGACCCAATTAATGGGCTTACTAGTTCTGACCTGATTCTTGTTTCATTCAATCATAGTATATATTATGAGTTATTTTGAGGATTAGGGTTATGAGATTAAACATAAGTTTTGCTACAAAAATGACTTTTGATAGAAACAGTCGATCATTATAATTTCTCTTCTTTTGATAGTTAAACCCTTTGTCGTTTTTTGCTCGTGGATGTAGGCTTTTAGCCAAACCACTCGTATGTTTGTATTCTTGTGTGATTCCTCCGTTTTACTTTGTTTTCGTTTGTTCCGTCATAACAAAGTTCAAAAACTTGTGATAGCAGTTTTCAAAAATAAACATATGATATTTCTAAACAATTGGTTTTCAGAAAAAGTTTGCCAAACTAGTTTTCTACTTTTTTTTTTCCCCAAAAAAGTTGAAAACAAACCAAACATATCCATGAGCAGTGACTGAGCATGGTATTGTTGTGACAACAAAAAGCACAAACCTACCCTTTTGGTAGCTTTATCAACTAACATGTTAATGTTAATCAAATGACCTCAAAAAGGGCTTAAGGGAACATTAAACATTAATCTTTTGGGGAGCCTCTTCTTAAATTTTGTAAAGACAATGTTATCATGGGCCTACCTTTTTCGTATATCTCTATCCACTTGACAAGCATGGATTTAACAAAATTTAAACCCTCTGGGAAGCAAGGTATAACATGATTCAATTATAGAATTTATTCCAACTTTTCGTCCTTATATATAGCTTACCCTGAGCCACTGCAAAACCACACAAAAACCCATTTTATCCCCCTCCTGCCTTCTTAATTCCCAAAATAATGGAAAAGAAGCCCATAATGCAGCAACTGGCCAAGAATGACCGTCGGATGTCATTATCCGATGACAGTGCCATGATGAAGCAAATTCAGGGAACCCATTCACCTGATGGGCGTGATGTCTATGCCAAGCCCATTCTCCAAGTCATTGAGGACATCCTGAACCATGTCACTCTCGACGTTGCTGGTGTATGTGCAAATCCTCTTATCCTTTCTCCTCAAAACATAACATTATGTTCTACAAGTTTCTTGCTATTTGTCACTAGGGGTCAATTGTGTTGTGTGTTAATTTTATGTAGGGCATGCATGGACACGCTGATGCATTGAAGGAAAGGACCACTGTGGATGGACTTGATGCCATCCTAGATGAATTGGCTTACATTATGCATAAAGTCTCGTGCGAGGTGTTACTAATGTGTTTTTGAACTTGCTTAATAATTACTAGTGGTAATGGGGGGGGGAAGTGACAGTAGTGAGGCTAGCTTAAGTACCCATAAGAACCAAGTAATGAAATCATTACAAAATTAGTTTTTTTAACTCATGTGCCCAATTCCCACACCACAATAGAAAAATTCTCTGTATGTTTTCTCTTCAAGTATGATAAACTGTCTATTTATATTAATATAGTTAGATAAAGGTTCATATAATGTTAAAATATTCCACATTACCCATGAGAAAATGAAAAAGATGGAAGCTGCAATATAGTATTCTAAGAAATAGAAATACGAGAAAGAGCAACAGAACACTGATAATGAATCGTGAAAATATAAAATGTGAGAAAGGGATTGCGGTCTAGGTATT